CCCCCCCCCAATCCACCCTTACCTGTTGCTCGACCAATTGCTTGAGATCACTTTCTGGCACCATTTCTGAGTTGAATCTTTCTTTGGTGGTTTGTCTGTGTTGGTTGAAGCAACATCTTTCCTTTCATCCGTAATATGTACGAACTCTGGCTAGTTTACCTCCAGTGATGCCACTTATTGTGATTGTGATTCTTCCTGAATGGTGATCATTGTGGTTATCATTTCTTCCACTTTCTTCATAAGACGACTAATCTGCTCGTCCCTTTGTTGTATGGTTCTTTTCCATTCATCTATAGCTTTCTCCTCGGCGAGAGGTGAAGCATCGCACGTAGATGATGTAGCTCGGGTCTCAACGACATTGATTCTGGTAAATTTATCTTCCATATAATCTGACAAATTGTAATCCTCATTATCAAAATCCATTCCTCTTTCTTTGGCCAACTCCGTGATCCCAGCTCTGAGCTTTCCCAGCTTAGCATCAACTTTCTTTCCTTTGATTACCTTGAAATCTATCAGTGTTTCCTGAAGTTTCTTCCTTTCTATAATAATCTCTGGAGTAGTTGTGATGGCGATGGTCGGAGCATCAGACTTACAATCCATTTTGAGAGAACACTCTACCGCTACTTTTAGATAGACCAGTCTAGCGACCTTAAATACCCACACTTTCTTCTTTGACACTGATGCTTTGAGACAGGGTGTCTCGATAGTGACATTGGCATGTCGAAAGGAAGTGTGCTCCCTGATGTGTGGACCTGATATCGTAGTAAATGACATTTTTCCATTACTCCTTGGAGATTCTTCACTAGTAACGGCAGGTGGAACTCTCGAACCCAGACGAGACTTAGCTGATCTACTCTCTGTAGGTTTTCGACTAACGATAGTAATATCCATGACGGTTGTAGTGGTGTCGGCACGGTCTTCCAAGCAGAACCTGACAGGAACACGGGACGGTGATCTCTATAACGGACGGATGGGCTTGTCTTTCCTCAAGATTTCATTCTTCATCTGTGGGGATACGACACATCCCATCCTTTTTAAAAGATCGGTGATGGAGCACTGTTCTTTCTTGGCTAGCTTCTTGAAAACCGAGCAAACTCGGGTAAGAGGGGTGGGTCTCTCCCCTTCTTTCTGGTGATTATGTGGCGGCGATTGCCGATACACCTAAAATATACAGTATTTATGTATGCATTTTTATACCTATTTTTGAGGATATTGCGTTTTAATGGAAGATATTTTTGTGTTTTTCTTTCAGGTACAATCAAATGGATGAAAATGTTGAAAGAAGTGAAAAAAGATTAAATTTGGAGCAAAAATGAAGAATGTGGTAAAAGAATTGTGGTGCTTAAGCGCCAGGAAAACTGAGAAGGCCGCACCTAAGCGCCAGAGGTAGTTACTTGATGATTCAATGAATTTAAATGAATTTTTGAAGATGTGTTTGAAGCAACTCTTAGTGAAAACGTGGGATATGGTTAATGGACACGAAAATACATTCAATTTGCTTCTGAAAGGAGATAACTCTTGGAAGATTCATTGAATGTGGACACATTTTGAAGAGACACCAATGCACCTTTTGGAAAATTATTAAAGAAGACTTGGATTTGATTGAATAACTCTCTCATACACACCCCTCCAATGCCCTAAACACTCTCCTACATTTTCCCCAAAGCCCCCCATAGCCACGCCACCGACGCCTCCCTCTCATACCTCCCTCTGATAGATTAATTAGGATACTTTTTAGAGAAAAGAAGAGAGGAGTTGTAGTATGTGAGTAGAGAGTATTGTAAGAGAAATGAAGAGAAAAGATTCAAAGGAACTTCAAGAGTTTGGTGGAGAGGATTTGAGATAAGTTTTTTATCTTTGTGACTACATTTGAATTTAATTTAGATTTCTAGTTTGTTTGCATGATTTCCACTTTTAAACTTACATGCAGTTGTTTTTCTCCATGAATTCTGAGTAGTTTTCTTTAGCCTCCCTCTCATAGATTAATTAGGATACTTTTTATAGAAAAGAAGAGGAGTTGTGGTATGTGAGTAGAGAGTATTGTAAGAGGAATGAAGAGAAAAGATTCAAAGGAACTTCAAGAGTTTGGTGGAGAGGATTTGAGATAAGTTTTTTATCTTTGTGACTACATTTGAATTTAATTTAGATTTCTTGTTTGTTTGCATGATTTCCACTTTTAAACTTACATGCAGTTGTTTTTCTCCATGAATTCTGAGTAGTTTTCTTTATCTTTTTCCTTAAAATGATAAATGATTAAGTATTTGATGGAAGTTGTGTTAAGTATTAATCTTTAATGTTGGAATAAGTTGTGATGATTTTAAATCTTGTACTTCATTTACTTCTTGATTTGACCAATTAAGATGTTAATATTTGTTATGAGAATATGTAAGATTCGTGATGGTTGTCTTAGTCAATTAATGATAAGAATCACATGAGATTGTATGGATGAGAATGTAATTCATATTGTTGAGTGCAAATAAATAAAGAAATAAATTTTGAAAGGTGTAGAATTAGAGGACTTTAAAGTGATAGGCTAAAGCCCTTAATTTATTTTATAGTTTTAGGTTTTGATACGAGATGTTAGCCCCCAGGTAGAGGGAGATGAGGAAACTCTAGAGTGAGAGTTAGTATCTTCCCTACCTAGCCCGTCTTCAAGACTATTCAAACTTTTAATTAGTCAATGTTCTTTATATCATCTCTAGTAAGGGTAATGAATATTATTCTATTTGACACAACTCAATTTGAATACTTCCACAATAGAATTCATATACTTGTTAGTGGTTCATGATAAGGAGAAAATATATTTTATTTATATTACCTTCATCTTACAAATTTCTAGTTAAATTAAGTTAGTTGTTTAATTTGTTTTCAATTATAAAAAAATATCAAAAAGAATCGAACTTTCATTCATATTATAGTAAGTTAGTTGTTTAATTTGTTTTCAATTATAAAAAATTATCAAAAAGAATCGAACTTTCATTCATATTATAGTATCTATAGTTTGAGTAGGAATATTTTGCAAAAGTAGAAATTGTTGTCTAATTTCTTCTGACTTATTTAAATATTGAACTTCTCCCCGTGGGTTTGATATTCAGTGCTTAATCAAAAAGTCCTATATTACTTAATAATGATACGTATACTTGTTTAGTATCCCATATTTAAATATAATAATTGTAATCAATAATTGTAATCTATTGTAATCTTATTTGCTTCGAAGTCAAGTTTTTGCCTAGTCGTTACTCAGGATCAAGGTTTTGGCGTCGTTGCAAAGTAAGAATTATAAGTAAGGAAACTTTAAGAATATAACCTCATACATCATAATACTATCATATAAGATTGAGATCAAGTTTTTTGCGTCGTTGTCAGAACGAATAAAATTTTTTGAAAAAATTTTTAGAAAGCCTTATTTAAACTTTTAGATTTATTTTAGGAATATTGTAATATTTTTTTAATATAAGTTCTTATTTGTGTGATTTATTTTATGTTATTTTGTAGTAATGTATGCGTAGTTAAGGTTCTAAAAGGCTAGTGTCCTATGATTCTGAATTAGAAAGAACTATTAGAAAAATCAAAAACTTCAAAGATACAAAAAAGACAAAAAATTTCAAGAAATGTTAAACCAAAATAATCAAAAAGCTAAAATTAATCAAGAATTTAGACATTTAAGAGATTATGCAAACCCTACAGTAGATGAACTTTTTTGTAGTATTCCA